TTTTTGGCTTGAAATGGTTAAGTTCCTGCTAGCTGTGATTGACCATTAATCTTCTAACCTTTAGGATTTAACGATTTTTCTTTCTAAGCAAATTTTTAAGGGGTTTTTTTTTCCTTTTTAGATTATTTTATTCCCTATTAACTCTTTCTCGCAGCATTATTTTGAACCACATCATGGCTATCGTAAAACAATTAATCAATGTGCTTGGTTTGAGTTTTTTGGATTAAGTTTTTTGATTTTCGTGTTTTTTTGTTTTTAGTAAATATTTTTAAAATTTTAAACATTTTTTTTACTTTTTTAGATGCACCCTACTTAGATATATCTAAAAAGTAAAAAATTAGTGAAAAAATATTTTAAAAAATTAATAAATACATAAAAATACAAAAAATTTACTAAATTCTTGTATTTTTTTTTTGTATTTTTGGTATTTAGTGAATTTTTAAAAGATTTTTTTCACAATTTTTTTACTTTTTAGGTATATTTATGTTAGGTAGGTCTAAAAAGTAAAAAAAAAAAATTGCTTAAAATATTAAAAAAATTCAGTAAAAACAAAAAAAAAATACGGAAAATAAGAAAGTAGAATTTTTTGAAAAATCAAACCAAGCAAGCTGTGTTTTTTTTTTTTCTGGGAAACTCAACTGGAGAATGGGTCGGAGTAAAATAATTTTTGACTTAAACTCAATAGTTTTTGCATTTAATTTTAATTGGCAAATCGTAGTGATTTCTTTTTTTTTTTGTTGTCACCAATAGTTTGAATGCCACATGAAATTGTTCTGATTTTTATTCCAACGAGGTTAGGGTTTGATATATCACCAATTAAATGGAATTTCGAGAGTGTCTTTTAATTAAAGACAAACATTTCCAAAGGTTGGTATCCTAAAAGGGTTTAACAAATTTAATGGTTTTGTGTGTTTTTTTTTGCATGTCGACAAACTATTAAAAATGAATGCGACCATGAGGAGTGCATGTCGACAAACTATTAAAAATGAATGCGACATTTAATGTATTGTAGTTAAACACCTTCAAGAATAATTGGCAACGTTGGGAACTCCATCCATATATTCACCAAAACTTGAAGCTGAATTTCTTCTCCTTAAGCTCCCTCATGTCCTTCTTTATTGCCTCCAAGTTGCTCAGTATAGTTGCCATCCCTGTTTGCAAACTTGTGACGCTAACTTTGATGGCAGTTTCCAAATCCTCCTCCAACGGCTTTGCTGGCAGAAACGACCATAAGAATGTTACAAAGCTAATAATCGTTATTGTAGAGGAAATAAAACTGAGCCATCAGTTTGGCTATTCTTGTTATAGTCAAGGACGTATATTGGGTGGCCCCATTTTTTCTCCACAGTCACATAAATTCAATAAAACTGCATTGTACTCGACGAGCTTTCATATTGTGTAAAAGATTGGCGATGGGAAAATATCTATGTAAATTTTTATGATTAAATAAAAATGCAGTTTTATTGAATTTATGTGTCATAATAAATTCGATTTCTGAGCAGGTTTAATCTGGATAAATGGGCTGCAATTGGTAAACAGACCAACGGCCCAATTACAACAATGAGGCCCATTTAATGTTTATTAGTTATTTTAAAATAGGCCCAGACATATGGTACATCAGCCCACTAGAGATAGGCCCATCAGGAAGCGGCCCATACAAACTATGAAAGAAGTGGACACTAAAGAGAAGGCCCAAATTTTATTGCGCTTAAAACAGTTACAAAATAATAATTTACATTTTATTTTTATGATCTGAACATCCACAACCAGAACGCACAGGCTGATTTTCTGAAGGCGCGGTGATATAGCACACGTCAGCGGCAGAACACCTATCTGTACGTTGCTCCATCGTCTGCATAATTGGAGTCGTCGCCGGGGTTTCTGTTTCGGAAACCGCTTGCAGACCGGCGAATAGAGCATCTTCTTGCCGCTGCAAGGCGTTGATGAGCCGGATTAAATTTTTGGCGTTGTTTTCGCCGACGACCAACAAGGACCCATTCGATCAATCCATAATGGCAGTTTCCAAATCCTTCTTTTTCAAATCCTCCTCCAACGGCTCTGCTGGCAGAAACGACCATAAGAATGTTACAAAGCTAATAATCGTTATTGCAGAGGAAATAAAACTGAGCCATCAGTTTGGCTATTCTTGTTATAGTCAAGGACGTATATTGGGTGGCCCCATTTTTTCTCCACAGTCACAGACTAACTAGCTGATGCTAATAGATTAGAAAACAGTGTCCCTGAATCTATTAGCATCAGTTAAAAAGTCCGTGACTGTGGAGAAGAAGTGGGGCCACCCAGTATACGTCGTTGGCTATAACAAGAATAGGGAAACTGAGAGGCTCAGTTTTATTTCCACTGCAATAAGCTTTGTAACATTTTTAGGTTCGTTTTTGCTAGCCAAGCCGTTGGAAGAGGATCGGAAAAAGGAGGATTTGGAAACTGCCATCAAAGTTGGCGTCACAAGTTTGCAGACGAAGATGGCAACTACACAGGGCAACTTGGAGGCTATAAAGAAGGACATCGGGGAGCTTAAGGAGAAGAAATTCAGCTTCAAGTTTTGGTGAATATATGGATGGAGTTTCAAATGTTGCCAATTATTCTTGAAGGTGTTTAAATACAATACGTTAAATGTTGCATTCCTTTTTACTAGTTTGTCGACATGCACTCCTCATGAAGTCAAACCATTAAATTTGTTGAAGACTTTTAGAATCCCAACACTACTAGAAATGTGACTTTTTGCGACGGATTATTTAACCGTCGCAAAAAATCACTTTTCCCATTAAAAAAATTACAAAATCATTTTAACTCTTTTTTTAAAAAAAAAAATCGTCTAGAACTTGACCTATCTCCCCTTTCACTTTTATTTCCCAAATTTGTCTCCAACGGTGGTGTAGCTCATTTCCTGTTGTTGCCTGATCTCTCTTTCTCAAAATCTCTCTCGCTCGAATCTCACTTTCCACTCTCGCTCTCGCTCGACTCTCACGTGATGAAGATTTGAAGATTTCGATCGATTGTTGATGAAGATTTCGATCTTTTGTTGATGAAGATTTCGATCAATTCATAATCGGTAAGCTACTTTCCAAATCCTTCTTTTTCAAATCCTCCTCCAACGGCTTTGCTGGCAGAAACGACCATAAGAATGTTACAAAGCTAATAATCGCTATTGCAGAGGAAATAAAACTGAGCCTATCAGTTTGGCTATTCTTGTTATAGTCAAGGACGTATATTGGGTGGCCCCATTTTTTCTCCACAGCGGCATAAATTCAATAAAACTGCATTGTACTCGACGAGCTTTCATATTGTGTAAAAGATTGGCGATGGGAAAATATCTATGTAAATTTTTATGATTAAATAAAAATGCAGTTTTATTGAATTTATGTGTCATAATAAATTCGATTTCTGAGCAGGTTTAATCTGGATAAATGGGCTGCAATTGGTAAACAGACCAACGGCCCAATTACAACAATGAGGCCCATTTAATGTTTATTAGTTATTTTAAAATAGGCCCAGACATATGGTACATCAGCCCACTAGAGATAGGCCCATCAGGAAGCGGCCCATACAAACTATGAAAGAAGTGGACACTAAAGAGAAGGCCCAAATTTTATTGCGCTTAAAACAGTTACAAAATAATAATTTACATTTTATTTTTATGATCTGAACATCCACAACCAGAACGCACAGGCTGATTTTCTGAAGGCGCGGTGATATAGCACACGTCAGCGGCAGAACACCTATCTGTACGTTGCTCCATCGTCTGCATAATTGGAGTCGTCGCCGGGGTTTCTGTTTCGGAAACCGCTTGCAGACCGGCGAATAGAGCATCTTCTTGCCGCTGCAAGGCGTTGATGAGCCGGATTAAATTTTTGGCGTTGTTTTCGCCGACGACCAACAAGGACCCATTCGATCAATCCATAATGGCAGTTTCCAAATCCTTCTTTTTAAAACTAGAATTTAGTGTATATTGCTCCCACAAGGACCAGTCCTCTATAAATTCTACCAAGAAAGCTTGAGATTTGTTCACATTCTCACTCTATTAGAAATCAGTATTTGGACAAAGCTCAAGTCTCTCAAGTGGCCAAAGGCTTTAAAATTAGGAGTACTTACTACAACTTTCAAAGTTTTCATATGCCAATCTTCATTCTGTTTGATCTCTCTGTTCTTTTGCTTCTTCTTCTTCTACTATCATCATCATCATCATCATCATCAGTGCTAGCAATTGCAAATGTAGAAGGTAACTAATTAAGCCTTGTCGTAGAATGTAGTAATTTATACTAATATTATTTCATATGATTATGTTATGTTTGTTGATCTTCTTCTATCTATTTTACGTGGCCTTTTCTTGCTTTAGGGGAGTTGACATTTAAGCTATCATGATACTCATGTGGCTGTATCTAATTGTTGATCTAATAGATTGGGCCTAATACCAATCTCCAGTATTTTTAGTTCAAGTGTATATATGCCAGGTTCAATTTTTATTTGAATGGATGATTACTGTGTTTTTACTCTTTCAAGTTTCATGTGACTAATAGCGTTTGGTAACGTTTACATTTTTGATTTATGTTTACAAAAATTTTATAAACTGGTTTTTGTTTATTTTGACACCTATAAAGTTGTTCTTAGCTGGATTTTAATTTATTCAGTTTTAGTTCTTACTAAAAAATGCTCCATTTAGATTGATATATAAATCTTGGTATTTCTCTCTATTCAATTTTGTGTATGTAGGGCATTCTCTTTTTATTTATTTTTTCTGTGTGAAAAAGAGGGACAAAAATGTAATTACAAGCAGGGATTCAAGTTCCTAAATCACTGCATAAAATTCAAAGAAAAAAAAAAGAAAAGACAAAACACTTCTTTCACCATTGGAGTAAATATATGCTTGGTTGTGTCTTTCTGTGTGTCTGTCTTTGAAGAATAAAACCTTTCAATTTTGAGTAGTTATTATTCCTGCCTTTATTGATTGATCAGTCCCGGGGTTTGCATTTTTTTTTGAACAGTGAGCATCTTGATTCTGTTCTTGATGTTGTGAGGAAGGAGATTGAGAATTGTGATTGCTTGCAAGGTAAAGGTATTTTCAAATTCTTACATGGTTTTTGTTTTTTTTTGGTGCTAAATTACCTTTCCATTGTTTCTAAGATGATTTTGGCTGCTGAAACTGATGCCTTTAATTTATCACCTATTATTACCTTGAAGATTTATTTGTTAGCTTGGTAGTAATTTTATGATCTCACAATAGTAGGACCTTTATTTCTTGTTCTAAATTCCAAGATCACATGTTGAAATTGGAAGCATTACTTGTAGATGTCAATTTTGTTACCCACATCCCTAATTGATCTTTTACATTATGTTATGTTTGTTGCACTGAATTACATGCCTTACCCACCACCAGGAATAAGACCTGGAACTCCTCCAGACTTGAGGCACTGGCCAGCGATGGTGTCTCCTTTTTGTAAATGGAACTGTGCATGTCATTATGCTCAACCTTCCAGTTTTGGTCGCAGGTTTGTTTTAGTGCATCCATCTATTCCATTGTGTTCTGTTTGTTGCACTGAATTACCTGCCTTAGCAACCACCAGGCAATAAGACCCTCCGGAATTACTCAGACTCGAGGCACCCTGACTGTGAGGGTGTCTCTTTTTCTATGTTGCAAAAGGGTATGTCATTGTGCTGTTGGTTCCTTGGGCCTTGTTCTTTGACAAAACTATATTATTGTGCCAGGGTAACACTGTAATGGAGGGTGAGGCACCTCCTAAATCATGTGAGGTTTTTGCTTGACATTATTAGGAAAACCTATAATGTGGTGGTCATGTTCCTAATAATTTCCTGATTTTGTGAGTCTGGACAGATAGCAAGGAGGTGACCTATTAAGTTGGGGTTACCCTGGCAGAATAATTTAATTTTGAGATAGTAAGGACGCAACTTGGGCAGGCTTTTAAGAGTCAATCTGAGAATTTTTTGTTTTTTCTGTTTTTTTGTTTTTTTTTTTTTCAGGGAGAAATTTGAAAACTTTTAGGGAGACTATGGATGTGTTTGGTTTGTGTTTGTAGAGTAGTTTTTGAGATAAAAAGTACAAAAACTTGTTTGGTTTGCCTTTTTTTAGAAATTGTTTTGGAAAATTGTTTTGGAGAGAGTTTTAAAAAAAAGTGATTGATTTGATGTGTATGAGAGAGAGTGATTTTGAAAAGTAGGTAATCAAATAAAATTTTGAGATTTTTTTTGAAAAAATTTGTTTGGTTTGGTTACTCTTAAAAATTTGTTTGTAGAGAATTTTTTTCAAAAATTTTTCTGAAAAGCAAACCAAACAAGCCCTATAATTTTAAATTTGGTTTTTTTTCAATTTGTGTGACCTGAATTTTTTTGTTAATATATATCAACTATATATAATAAACATAAAATATTATAATTTTTTGGTACACAACTCATAATTTTTTGTTATTATGTTTTTTTTTCCCTAATATATATATATATATATACGAAGACATTAGTTTAGGACAACTTATTGTTTTTAAATTTGGGCACATTGAATTAAAACTCGGGATTGACTTGGCAAAAAAATGACAAGACTACCCATCAAGTTGCAATCATGGGTTGTGTAAATTGTTGTGTAGATTTCTAAGTATACGTGATATGTGAAAAATAAGTGTTCAGCTGCATATGGTGATAGTGAAATTTATGTTCGTTTCGATTTGTTTGTGGCCTCCACCGGTTGATCAGTTTACACGCAAAGACAAAACAATCATTTGTCATCTCCGTTTTGGTTAAGTAGTTATGGTCCACATTTTTCCAAATTAAGTAGTAATACTAGTAGTCATCGTCATCCCAGTTGCTGTTGAATATTCTGGCAGTCTTGCTTTCAACATGTTGTTTCGCTCCTTTCAACTTCTATATATATATATATGTGTATCAGTCTAAACAAGTGGCTCTCTATTTCCATCTTTTCCTGGAAGAGAGATGCATGGTACAACAAAGCCAAGCCAAGGAGGATGTCAAGATAAGGTGAGAATTTTTGTTACAATATGTTGATGGGATGTGAATCATAGAGGGAATTAGTTGAGGGGTGCAATTTGGACAAGTCCAAATCTGAAGAACCGAAGTTTAGCCTGAAAAATGTAGCTTGGCTTTATAAATTCAAATTAGGAATTTTCACAATTTGAATAATTTGAAATCTATTGTTAGTATATATAATATATAATAACCATCAAAGTATGAATTACTGACTATTTAATTATTGTGAAATATTTTTTTTTTTGTTTTTTTGTTAATAATTAGATTATTACGTAGATTGAAGTTTTTCATATATTTCAACTTGAAGTCTCACACTGGCATCTAAGTGCCCACCCAAGGCCACTTGGGATGTTGATATACATTAGTTTAGGACAACCAAATATAGTTTTTATTTATTTTATTTATTTTTTAAATTTTGAAATTTGGGCAAGGAGAGCTAAGTTTGAATTTTTTGAATTAAATTTAAGCTTGGGCTTGGGAAAATAGTTTAGGCAAAAATTGGGAAACAATTTTGTTACCCACATTCCTAATTGATCTTTCTATTGGGATGGGATCTTTGGAACTTGGGTTGGTAGAGTTTTGAAACTTCTTTGTACATGGAGCTAGATATCAGACTTGCTGCCTTGCAATTATAATGATTGATTTGAACATTTGATTAGGTGGTGTTAGTTATGCCATTTTTATTTTTTGAATTGTAGGCATACAGGAAAGATTCCAATTCATGGTGATGCTTCTGCCAAAGCCACTTTATATAGGGATAGATTTCTCTTGTTGCTCCAGAGGCTTTCTTGTGATCAGCATTTCTAAGCCTGCATTTGATACTGAAAGGTCTCAGTTCGGCAGTTGTGAGGTAACTTGCGTCTCTGTCTTGCACAAAAACATATTGAGATTGGAGACACATACGTTAATTAAACAAAGTGTGCTTATTTATGTGTATATGTTGGGCAGATATCTCCAATTCAGAGTCTCATTGGGCTAACAGGGAGAAGATGGGTCATGGGCGTTATATGTCAGTCAGAGGATGGCCATTTCTACTTGGAAGACCTCACTAGAGCAGTTGAAATCAATTTGTCTAATGTAATATTTTCTTCACGTTTATATTTTTCCCTTTCGAGAGACTTATTGTCTATTTTGAATGCTTGGATTTGGGCTGCCCTATAATCTCCAAAAACAAAAGTTCTCATTGTAAGCCTTTTTAAATAATGAAAAATAATGCATGAATGTTGAGATTTTTGCAAATACGTCTTTACGTTTATTGTATATAATATTTGCATGTATATATGTTTGTAGGTTTTTTTTTTTTTTTGCGACGGTAAGAAGTTGGTCGCTAATACATTGTAGGCTTTTTAACTCTTTTGCGACGGCAAAATATCAGTCGCTATAAGTAGGTAAGGCGGTCGCAAATAGTTTGCAACTGTTATTTTGCGATCGCAAAAAGTATTTGTAACTTTCAAATTCGCGACCTTCATTTGCCTGCATGGGCCGTCACAAAAAGCCTTTTGCGACGGTTTTTTTATTATTTGCGATAGTTTGTAGCGGTCGCAAAAAGTTTTTGTTTTGGTAGTGCAACTAACTGTTTTCAAATGGCATCTATCTAATGTTGTGTTAAGGATGTTGGAAATGTTTCTTTAATTAAAACACACTTTCAAAATTCCATTTAATTGGTGTTAAAAATCAGAACAATTTCAAGTGGCATCCAAACTAACTATTGGTGACTTCAAATGATTATAAAATGTGATCCTTTTTTTTTAGTTTTTTGTGGTTGATTTGATCCGGAACACTTTTGAGCTGATTGTGAGAGAACTTGTTAGTGTAAAAGTATGCAACTGAGGAATTTTTACCGTAATGTACCGATCAAGGTGTGGATAGCATTTACATTTTTCCTTTTTAATTTGTTTTTTAAATTTATTTAAAGGGTTATTTTAATTATATTTTTTAAACAGAGTGATTACCAATTATATTTTTTAATTAACAGAACATTATCTGAACCTACTTTTCGCTTGTAGTGTTTACATTCTAGTAAAAAAATTATATTAGTACTAACGTTTTTTATGCTTTTTTTAACTGTCATTACTATTTCATGTTTTAACGTAGTTTATAAATTATATTTGTTCATACACATAATTTTGGGTTAAAAAAAAAAACTAGGGTAAATTTTACTTTACTTGTGGTATCATCAATGTGCAGATTATCATCAATCATTTTGAAATAGTTGCATAATTTTTTTGTAATTTGTAGATTGAAGTGTATTCACCGTGTTTAGTTTCAATTTTCTGAATTTAATTTTTTAAAAATTGAGTTTTTTATTTTTTTTATTTTTAGTGAATATTTTTTAAATTTTAAACAATTTTTTTTACCTTTTTAGATGTATTTTATTTATATGTATCTAAAAAGTAAAATATTTGCAAAAAAATATTATATTTTTTAAGTGTATTCATGTTAGGTATATATAAAAAATTGCTTAAAATATTTTTAAAAAATTCAATGAACAAAAAAATACGGAAAATTAAAAATTTTAATTTTTTAAAAAGTGAATTCAAAAAATTCAAATCAAACAAGTTAGGTATTTCGTCAAGTTAATAGTAAAAACATTTGTTAAAAATGGTGAGAATGTTCATGATTTGCACAGTGAGAATAACCTATGTACAAGAGTATTTTAGTGTTTTACACCCGAGGTATTAATAGACTGAACGAGGTGCACTTTAGTATGAAAATGAGGTGCACTTTAGTATGAAAATTACGTGAGTTATGTGCTTATTTTCAAATGATAGGAGTTATGTGCACATGAGCCATAATTTGGGTAAAGTGAAATTTGTTCAAAAAACTAATCAGGTCAAAGAGGCGATTCTATAGCTTGGAAATAGAAAATAATAAAAATTTTAATTTGAATGATAGCTAGTTGACATTGGATAGATAGATAAACATATATGTGACGTGGATAGATATGTGAAATAGTAGACGAGTAACTTTTAAATTGTTATTGTCCTCGTGACTTCAAAATATTAGGATTGAGGAATGTTGTCTAAAAAATTTTAAAATTAGATTTATCTGTTGATTGACTTCTTAGATAAATGAATTTTAGTGAAATTATGAAGTCTCGTTTGTTAACTACATATTTTAGCTAAAAATCGCTATAAGTTATCATTTGTCTCGCTATAAGAATTTTGATTTGTCTCTCTTTTTCTTATGTATATATTTTTTTAAACGTTTTATGTGAAATTATGATGAAATAAAATGCTTCATTATTAACGTATGCCATTTAATGCACGTCTCCTAAAACAAATTAGTTTTCAAACATGACAAAATTATGGAACAAAGAGTTTTAAAACGTTAAAAGCATTCACACTTGTAATAAAACGTTTTTCGCAGTAAATCTAGAGACATAATATTAGAAAGTCATAACAAAAAAAATATTTCAACAAATGTCCCCAACCCATGAAAAAAATTTCACTGTACACACCCTTTCTAAATGCGCCTTCTAATTTATATTAGGATAAATTATAAAATCATGAGCGACATTAAGATAATAATAATTTTATGAAATAAATTTAACCATAAAAAAATTACATATTCATTATTAATAAGAACAAATCAAAATTCTATAATAGTGTGGAATAGCTCGATGTGGGATGATGACGTAAGTTTACAATTCTAGCACAAAAAATTATGGATCAAAATTCCTAATTTTAAAAAATAAAAACACATCATTTATAGTACAAATTATTATAAAATCTATTTAATTTTTATTTGACAGAAAAATATTAAAGAGATGACATTACGTATAAATTATGTGTTTTGAAAGAAAATTATTGAACAATCTTGGAATACCATATGGCGTTGCCTACGTGATGCTCAAAGCATAGAAAATCACAAATTACACTGCGTGGTATGTCAACTATTTGAAAATAATAAGTTCATTATATCCAATTTATAATATTTTTCGCTACACTATTGATTTAAACTACTACATAAACAATACTACATAGTATTCCCAAAGTATCAAATAACTACTTATTGTAAACAATACAATAAACCTTTAGCCAAAAAATATTTTAGAAAAAAAAAAAAATACATTTTATACATGACAATAACAAAAAAAAAATCAAAACTGAGAGAAGGCACGTGACCCCCTGGCTGGCCTTGTTGTGCCTCCACCCCTAATCCTACCTAATATTATATCTAATTAGTGTTCTTACCAGTATTGAAAGCAATATGCCATGCAAAATCTAGTCAAATCATGAAAATTGTTTCTGCAAAAAAATAAAAAAAAGGGGGACAATTCCTAATCAGTGAGAATCGGAAAAATTATTTACAAAAACATGATAAACATTATAAATATTAATAATTAGAATTATAAACTTTATACTCTTGTAAATAATTTTTCTAATCCTCACTTATCAGTATTCCCCAAAAAAAATTATGAAAAACAAATTATTTTCTTGGAAACATCAAAAAACTTATTTTGAATTTTCAAAATTGTTATAGTACAAATAAAAACAAATTGATGTTTTCCATCTTTTCATTATTTTGTTTTGAAAACATGAAAACTGAAAACACAAACAAACGCAAAAATCAAGAACAAGAAAAAAGGGATGGAAATGGCAGAAGCACAAAGGAATTCTCCAGAAAAGTCCTTCATCCCGTTCCACTACATCTATTAGTAAATAATTTTTACAAAGGAATTATTTATGTGCTTATTAATAAGCACAAAGGATAAACTTTATATCAATAAGCACATTAACGCCAGCAAAGTTAAAAATCCCATGCACTTAACTGGAACAATAATACATATAACCATATTTATGTAAAAACAGTAAATCACTTGAAAGGTTTCAAGTTTCGCAAATAGAATTATTGCAGGACAAGAACCAGTTATCATCCTCTAAATCATGGTGGATTGATTCCTTGTCATACGTCACTTGCGTAAACGCCTGGACTGATTCCTAATCGTACGGCATAGAGTAAATGCCTTCATGGGGAGAATGAAATGTGGAACCCATAGTTGAGCACTGGTTCGCGTCTTAACAACATCACCTTCCAGACTGAAATGGAAAACATTGAAAGATTAGCCAAAGTTCAAATATAAAACATCTATCTTTGACAATCAGTTGAGAAATTGGGAACTTGTATGAATCATGGAAACTGAATCCTGCAATTCTGCTTATATTACTTTTGAAATGGCTTCACCCTAGTTCAAGTCTCTCTCATTGTTTTAATGGTGCATTTTCTCATTCTTCCTCCTCTCATGAGAAAGAATACTATGCATGACAAGCATTTCAAATCACCCATTGAGGCGATTCACCATCACTTCAGGAATCTACCTGCTGGCCAAAGTAGAGATTATTGCATAAGTAACCATGAAACGGTGCTTGTTAATAAACAGGCCATTTGGACTGAGGCATGCCAATCAATGATGGTGCCTATTATTTAAACAAACCAAATAAAAGGACCGCTCATCCTCCAGGCTCCAGTCTAATGATAAACAATGAGCCTCCAATCTATCTATATGCCAATATGTTGGTCTCGAGGATTTGGTTATAAGACACAAATATCTGGTCTGGAAGCATCTCAAAGCTTTTCCTGGCTGTTTCTCAGCCATGCTGTCTCTCTCATCAGATTGTTTTAGTTATTACATTACACCAACTCAAACTCAACAAACCCTACCGACAATCTAGCAGACCAAAAATGCTGGGATGTCTATTAGCTTACCCATAATTATATAACCCAGCCAGCCAATGCACCCCAAATTCGGCAACCAAAAGTTCTCATATGAAATTCAACTAATACCATTGAATGACATAATATATAAAAACTTATGCCACACATGAAATTCCATTTCTGACATATATAGCTCATCCCAATGACATGAGAAAATAGCAAGAAAATAAGCTATGCTTATGGTAAGCATTCAAATCTTATGCAGTTGTCATTTCTATAACATGGAGCATTTCACACTAGTTCTACACAAACAAATTGATGGGCCAAAATGGCAAAAAGAAAATTAGGAAAAGAATGAAGGAATCAGCTCCCAACTAAGACAATGGCTTGTTAACAAAACTTGAGTAAAATAGTTTATTGAGAAGATGATTTAAACAAACCTGAACGAGAGAAATATCCAATTCACTTGGGAAGGTACTGTGAACACGAGGGGATTCAGGTGAACTCATATCATGCACACTTTCCCCAGCATTTTCATTAGGAGACTAAGTAATTACACTCGAGTGTCTTTTCCGTTATACGAGAAGTTTGAGGTTCAGCAACTGGATAAAGGAACAGAAATTCCGGTCCGTTTTGAGGGAAGATCAAGGCGCTCAATCATTCGTGCAGCACCAGCAATACCTGCATTCCTCTCACGTTGAACTCCTCTTCCCAATTCTTTGACTGAGATATTGTGGGCAAGTAGCTTCTCTTTAAATCCTCGGGTACTTTTTGAGATTGATTCCTTATATCTGTTGCACAAGAACCATACATCCAAGAATCAAAGAAATGAAACAAGCAAGCATCAGCTCCTAAAGAAACCAAACTATCCAAAAAAAATACCTGGCAGAAGCCACAGAAAATTTCGATTTAACAGACTCCGAGAAAGCAAGAAATTCAGTGGAGCTTGGTCTTTGTGGACTTTCAGGGCTGCAAAGGACTCTAAATAATTACCAAACATGTAGAAAGTCATAGAATCATGTATGTGTAAGAACAGTCCGAAGAAATAGGTTGCAACAAACTTCTACATTATCAAACTGTGTCATTCACGTGTAAGATTCAAAAACTATTCATCGATTATAAGAAATGAGTTAAGAGTGTCTTGGTTTATTGAAATTAATTCATGAATATATATATATATATATATCAAGACATTGATTCCGGTTAGCTCCTTCATGGGTCCGACAAGACTCTGTAAACTGTCCCAACATTGATTCCGGTTAGTTTCTACAAGGGTCCAACAAGACTCTGTAAACTGTCACAACAACTGTCACAACATTGTCTGCTACAACGGTCGGACATGACCCCATAAACTGTCTTCTACATCGGTCTGACACCGCCATCCAGTGTCCTCTACAACGTTATGACACCACCATACAGTGTCTTTACCATCGGTCTGACACGACCATACAGTGTCTCCTATCCTCTTTTCTTTTATGTATTCGTCTATTTTCTTGTTTTGTTACTCTCTCCAAACTCAAGTTGGCTAGTTCCTATCCCCCTTGAGTTTGCGGGGGGCTGTTAAAACCTATCACCTACTTCACCCACTTAAACCTACTCCACTAAACCTAACCCACTACACCACTACCACCTCACCTACTCCACTAAACCTAACCCACTACACCACTACCACCTCCACTTCACCTACTCCTTACCTACTACACACTCACCCTCTTCTATATATAGGAATCATGAATCATTGTAATATATATCAACATTCATCAATCAATAAATAATACATACAATTTATTCTCTCTTTCTCTATACATTATTTCTAACAGAATTCATCACTGAGACACCGACGCTAAGAAATTCATGAGTTAACAACAACAAATTGTTTGTGCGCCAATGTGATTCTTTCCACACAAAAATCATCTACCTGGAAGGGTCCTTCAAGACAAGAAGTTGCCAACGTATAGGGCACTCTTTGCTTCTTTGTGACCTGAAGAGAAACAAGTTGCCATACAAACAAACGAACACAATGTACAAGTAAAAAACATGCATGTGAACACATGGGTGTGAAGTGCCTTCACTGAGATATTGGTTCTAAAGTTTCAGACAGTTCAAGTTTAAACTAAATAAAATAGTAAGTGCATCTACCATGCAAGAAAACACTGGAGATGATACTCATGTCTACAGTTGGTGACCTGTGAAAAGAAACAAGACTTCATAGATTAATACTTGCTTGAACCTACATGTAATTATCTATAAAATGAGCAAGAACAACCAATATATAATATCAGGACAAGAGTATTTATCATAAATTACTAGCAATCATTTGGCAAATTCGATATCGCAACCATAAAATTCAAAACTTTATAACACAAACCCAATCATAAAGAGAAGAAGAGTTGCAAAAATAAAAATGTAAAAGAATAACATAATTGAACCCCAAATATATCCGATGAAGATGACAGAATTCCAGCCAAATCAATCGATTGAACTCTAAAATTAAATGAAAAAACAGGGTTTATTGCCACTACTGATCCAGCACAATAGATCAATATGTAGAAGAAGCCACAAATTGACAATTTGAGATCATAGAATCACAAAATTCGAAGAAACCAACTAACCCAATTACAAACTTGACACTCCATGAAACATATACAAACCAAACGATGATAATCAGTGACAAGATTTCAAAAGTGAGAGCAAAAATTAAGCTATTTTATTTCACAAATAAACTCATTCCAACTAGTTCAAAGACCATGCCTCGAGTTGTTCAAGTTCGAAGCTTCGAATCTCAAGTCAATTCAACCTAAAATCACAAATTTAACATTCTTCGACTCTACTAAACAGAACAATTAAAAACATACAGTGGGAGGATCTTGTGAGTTGAAAGGCTCGAGACATATACTACATGCGTCTTTGAAATCATCCTCGTGATCAGCAACGGTAGCTCCGGATGACGATGCGGCGGAAATCATCGGAGGATTGTCGAGTGAGGATACAAAATCCGCCATTTTTACAGTGATCAAGAAGAGAGAGAGAGAGAGAGAGAGAGGGAGGAATGAAGAGGAAGAAGAGAAAGGGGCAGAAAACACAGGAAAATTCCGCAATTCAGACGGTTGGTAGAAGTAGAATCAATCAACTCCAAAAGCAAACGCTATTTCTTTTTTTCTTTTTTTTTTATTTTACTTTTTTTATTTAAAAAATAAAATAGATAATACAAACAAACAAACAAACAAAAATTGTATCAACAATATTAGACAATTTCATTCTCGAAAAAGTTATTAATCATATTTTTGTTTTTAAAAAACTAGTTGGACAGCCGTGCGCGTTAGTTGAGAATAAGATGCTTTTAGAATATAATTAAGGTGCCTTGAGCTACTATCCAATTCATAAAGAACAAAATGAAAAATTGATGCTACCAGTATCTAGTGAGCAACGTCCTAAAAAATTGCCAATAACTCAGTCAAAATCCATAGTCAGTATATACTAGAATAATTTTAAGATGCAAAAGAGATGAATCATAGCTAGCATAACCAGTTATAGCAATGTATGCTTACATCAGACGAGGTAAAATCCAAGGATTCAACCAAGAGAATTACTAAAAGTTAAAGAATTAACAAATATTCATGTTGATAGGTCTAACATGACTTACTTTAAGAGTGGGTTCAACAGTGATTCTATCACTACCAATGATGCTGCAAACCTACTCTAGTCAATTTTTCTAAATTGAATTACTTTACATCTCAATGAGCAAAAGGAAATAAATTGTTCATATTGCCATGCTTACTCCACTTTATCCATAGTCAGCCTCTCTTCAGTGCTTTGCATCTTCAATCACTACCTGCGAAGAAATAATTCAGAATCCACTCATCAAACTGGAAGGTAGCATCCCAAAAGGTTCCAAAATTATGTACATAACAATTGGGGCATGACAATTGCAACTACATGGCTATTCCTCTGGAAGACAACTCAAAAGCTATGAAAATCAGAAGTTAGCTATGAATGATTGATACACTAGCTATATAATATCAAATTTGGAAGATCCCATTTAAATGGATAACTCAAAAAAACCACATGATAATGATTGAATACTACTCAAGGAATTACTTTTTGCCTTTAAGAAGGCGGAGAAAAAGAGCTATTGTCAATTTATTCTATTGCAGTCTATCCACTCATTGCTATGTACATTCCAAAATGTAAAAGACAATGAAAACTCTCGCATTGTTGTTTCAAGCTAAACGACCGGCCATTCATTTTAAATAATTAAACCCACAATTTATATCAGCTTGAATTCTAACTTATTTTATTTTCTTAATGTTAAAATCCACCTCACCTCACCTACTTCACCCACTTAAACCTACTCCACTAAACCTAACCCACTACACCACTACCACCTTACACATGTAATTATCTATAAAATGAGCAAGAACAACCAATATATAATATCAGGACAAGAGTATTTATCATAAATTACTAGCAATCATTTGGCAAATTCGATATCACAACCATAAAATTCAAAACTTTATGACACAAACCCAATCATAAAGAGAAGAAGAGTTGCAAAAATAGAAATTTAAAAGAATAACATAATTGACCCCCAAATATATCTGATGAAGATGACAGAATTCCAGCCAAATCAATCGATTGAACTCTAAAATTAAATGGAAAAACATGGTTTATTGCCACTACTGATCCAGCACAATAGATCAATATGTAGAAGAAGGCACAAATTGACAATCTGAGATCATAGAATCACAAAATTCGAAGAAACCAACTAACCCAATTACAAACTTGACACTCCGTGAAGCATATACAAACCAAACGATGATAATCAGTGACAAGATTTCAAAAGTGAGAGCAAAAATTAAGCTATTTTATTTCACAAATAAACTCATTCCAACTAGTTCAAAGACCATGCCTCGAGTTGTTCAAGTTCGAAGCTTCAAATCTCAATTCAATTCAACCTAAAATCACAAATTTAACATTCTTCGACTCTACTAAACACATACAGTGGGAGGATCTTGGGAGTTGAAAGGCTCGAGACAGATACTATATGCGTCTTCGAAATCATCAGAGGATTGTCGATTGAGGATACCAAATCCGCCATTTTTACAGTGATCAAGAAGAGAGAGAGAGAGAGAGAGAGGAATGAAGAGGAAGAAGAGAAAGGGGCAGAAAACACAGGAAAATTCCGCTATTCAGACGGTTGGTAGAAGTAGAATCAATCAACTCCAAAAGCAAATGCTATTTCTTTTTTTTCTTTTTTTAATTTTACTTTTTTTATTTAAAAAATAAAATAGATAATACAAACAAACAAACAAACAAAAATTGTATCAACAATATTAGACAATTTCATTCTCGAAAAAGTTATTAATCATATTTTTGTTTTTAAAAAACTAGTTGGACAGCCGTGCGCGTTAGTTGAGAATAAGATGCTTTTAGAATATAATTAAGGTGCCTTGAGCTACTATCCAATTCATAAAGAACAAAATGAAAAATTGATGCTACCAGTATCTAGTGAGCAACGTCCTAAAAAATTGCCAATAACTCAGTCAAAATCCATAGTCAGTATATACTAGAATAATTTTAAGATGCAAAAGAGATGAATCATAGCTAGCATAACCAGTTATAGCAATGTATGCTTACATCAGACGAGGTAAAATCCAAGGATTCAACCAAAAGAATTACTAAAAGTTAAAGAATTAACAAATATTCATGGTGAGAGGTCTAACATGACTTACTTTAAGAGTGGGTTCAACAGTGATTCTATCACCACCAATGATGCTGCAAACCTACTCTAGTCAATCTTTCTAAATTGAATTACTTTACATCTCAATGAGCAAAAGGAAATAAAT